AAGTGAGGTTGGGACGAACAAATAGATAAACAAAAATAACACATTTCCTAGCACAGTTTTAAACAAACACGGCCGTTTTCGAAGACATCGGCCGCTGTTGTAGCGTCTGGGATGGCCGGGGGCGGCCGATGTCTTCGAAAACGGCCGTGTTGGTACTCGAAAATGATGTTGAGCATTCTTAATCACACTTTTTCAACACAACCTAACCTCACTTTTTCAAATGACATTTTTTTGACGTTTCATTAAAAAGATTTATTTACTCACTCAGTTTTAGATTTATAACTAAAAAGAAATTTGCGTCATAGAAACTAGTTTTAGTCAGTTGTGCACGTTTTATGTTATAAAAAAAAATTAAATAGTAATTCGCTTTCTCGTGGTTTTAAATTGATAGAATATTTGACATGATGAGAAGATAGTTACCAACGTACATTTTTAGACTTTTTGCGACAGATGGCGCTATCTCTTATGCGTCTTTATCAAGTGTCATTTTTTGACGTTTCATTTAAAAAAATTATTTAACTGATTTTGCGTTAGAAATAAAACTAAAACTAGAAATTTTGAGATATATTTCATAAATTTTTAGTTTTATTTCTTATTCCGTCAGCAGAAAAATTACGAAAATGTTGTGAATAAAATAATTTTTTGTTAAGTTTTCAACCTGCCGTTACCATGGTGATTTATCAATAGTCACAGACATCTTTTAAAAAAATCACTTGTTGTATCAAGATAAACTTTTATAATAATTATCGCGATTATATTAATCAACTTTCGCATTAAATGAAGCTGAAAGATCCGTTTTAAGGCAAAGTGAGTACATTCAATTTTTATTATTGATTTGTAACAATTATGTTGTTCATTTTTCTCAACCTAACCTAACTTTTATTTAAATCGTCCATCATCGTTAGAAATAAATTTCTGAATTAAGTTTAAACGTCAATGTGACAAAAACTTAATGTAACCAACTTCACAACAATTTGTCAAAATTAAATGTCAATTTTATGAAACGTCATGTTTTAGAAAACTCATTTAAAAGGTATATATTATAAGATAGTCATGGACAAATACGTTTATATACAAGTCACCCCTGTATAAAGGTACAATAATGTCAATTTCCTTACCAGTTTCATCTCCAATAGCCCAAACCAACAAATCAACACACGCAGCATTCGCCATAACATTAACCTTAAACTTATTAACAAGCACATAATTGCTTTCACGATCCTCGCGTTCGCTCGCATCATGTTGGCGACTTTGCAACTCAGTTTGTCCGTTTAAAAATAATCCCTTCACAAATTCCTGGACATCTTTGGTAAACGGAATTGGTAAATCTTTTTGCGGTTGGAGTAACTCCCTCAATAAAGTTACAACGACTAAATTGATCGTTTCTGAGAACGTTTTATAGGGAAAAGTTGCGATTTTTCCCGTCGAGTAAATCTCTAAAGATTGATCGTCGATTATGTTTAACATATCTTTCGTTAACAACTTTTTAGCCAACGATAAAATCGTTTGGAGGTTATGTAACGAGAATAATAAGTTTTGGTTATCCGAGTTCTCACAAAATCGCATATTTTGAAATTGGTTAAAACTTGAGCCGAATTTTTGAAAAAAATGGGTTGTGAAATCGTAATTTCCGGTTGGATCCGACGTCGATTGTTGGTTTTGGAATTTTGATGTGTCAATCGTGTCGAAAGAACCCTAAAATTAAAACCAAAATTGAGTTTAATTATAAAATTAATTTTTTATTACACATACTTGATTCATCGATAAAATATCAATGCTAACGGATAAATTTCCAGATAAACTTCTCGGGATAATCGATCGAAAATTGCTAAAACTTTTTTGAAAATGCGTTTTATCGATGTTTTCTTGATTTTGGATTATCGGGGGAACCGGCTTTGGGAATAACCGACATACCAATGGGGGATCGTTAGGGCAGAACCTCCCCAAAGCTCGGGTTAATCCGATAAAAACCGGGATCGTACCCCGACACAAAAAAAACTTTTGACTCGAAGATGTCCCGTGTGATTGCAACGNACAAAATCGCATATTTTGAAATTGGTTAAAACTTGAGCCGAATTTTTGAAAAAAATGGGTTGTGAAATCGTAATTTCCGGTTGGATCCGACGTCGATTGTTGGTTTTGGAATTTTGATGTGTCAATCGTGTCGAAAGAACCCTAAAATTAAAACCAAAATTGAGTTTAATTATAAAATTAATTTTTTATTACACATACTTGATTCATCGATAAAATATCAATGCTAACGGATAAATTTCCAGATAAACTTCTCGGGATAATCGATCGAAAATTGCTAAAACTTTTTTGAAAATGCGTTTTATCGATGTTTTCTTGATTTTGGATTATCGGGGGAACCGGCTTTGGGAATAACCGACATACCAATGGGGGATCGTTAGGGCAGAACCTCCCCAAAGCTCGGGTTAATCCGATAAAAACCGGGATCGTACCCCGACACAAAAAAAACTTTTGACTCGAAGATGTCCCATGGGATTGCAACGTTAAGAGCGATTCGGTTAAATTCGCGAAACATTCCACTTGAAGGGAGATTATTTCTTCTCTCGAATCATCCAAACGAGTTGCGATATCCGATAATAAAGTGTGTAGACAAAAACTGAATTTCTCAGAAACCGGAATACCTAAAAAAAATAATTAACTTTGGTATAATAAATAATTCAAGAATCATCATGTCGCTTAAAAATCGACAATTTCTTTTCAATCGACACTCAAGTAAGCAGTTACTAATAAAAAGAGTGCGGAAAAGTGTGAAACTTATTAAAAAAATCACTTTAAAGTTTCGACGTGATGTCACTTTTTGTGATATTTGGTTAAAACACATATTTTCGGGTGAAATAATCAAATTTGATCATCACAAAAAGCTTTTAATGTCAAAAATGACATTTAAATGACATCTTAAAGATTAAGTTTACAATTTTGTTACAGTTTAACATTCTAAATGACATCTACTCGTTCTTTTTTGCTACTAATTAACATTTTAACTGTCAAATTTGATTATTTTTCATCACAAAAAGATTTCAATGTCAAAAATGACATTTAAATGACATCTTAAAGATTAAATTTACAATTTTCTTACAGTTTGACATTCCAAATGATATGTCAACTCAATTTTTGCTACCAATTGACATTCTAACTGTCAAATTTAATGATTTTGTATCACAAAAAGATTTTAATGTCAAATGACATTTAAATGACATTTTAAAGATTAAATTAACAATTTTGTTACAGTTTGACACTCTAAATGACATCTACTCCTTCTTTTTTGCTACCAATTAACATTCTAACTGTCAAATTTTATCATTTTTCATCACAAAAAGATTTTAATTCCAAAAATGACATTTAAATGACATCTTAAAGATTAAATTTACAATTTTCTTACAGTTTAACATTCCAAATGATATGTCAACCTCACTTTTTGCTACCAATTGACGTTCTAACTGTCAAATTTAATGATTTTGCATCACAAAAAGATTTTAATGTCAAAAATGACATTTAAATGACATCTTAAAGGTTAAATTTACAATTTTCTTACAGTTTAACATTCCAAATGATATGTCAACCTCAATTTTCGCTACCAATTGACGTTCTAACTGTCAAATTTAATAATTTTGCATCACAAAAAGATTTTACTGTCAAAAATGACATTTAAACGAGATCTTAAAAATTAAGTTTACAATTTTGTTACAGTTTGACATTCTAAATGACATCTACTCCTTCTTTTCTGCAACCAATTGACATTCTAACTGTCAAATTTAATGATTTTGCATCACAAAAAGATTTTAATGTCAAAAATGACATTTAAATGACATCTTAAAGATTAAGTTTACAATTTTGTTACAGTTTGACATTCTAAATGACATCTACTCCTTCTTTTCTGCAACCAATTGACATTCTAACTGTCAAATTTAATGATTTTGCATCACAAAAAGATTTTAATGTCAAAAATGACATTTAAATGACATTTTAAAGGTTAAATTTACAGTTTCCTTACAGTTTAACATTCCAAATGATATATCAACCTCACTTTTTGCTACCAATTGACGTTCTAACTGTCAAATTTTATGATTTTGCATCATAAAAAGATTTTAATGTCAAAAATGACATCTTAAAGATTAAATTTACATGTTTGTTACAGTTTGACATTCCAAATGATATGTCAACCTCAATTTTTACTTCCAATTGACATTCTAACTGTCATATTTGCTCATTTTTCATCAAAA